AGAAGGTGAGCAATGTTGGATGAGGATTTTTTAGTAGGGAAAAAAAAAATATGAATTTTGAAAAACAGTTAGATGATGTTTGAATGATTACTGACTTTAAAACTATTGAGTGCATGTTAGATATACAGTGAGTTGACCAAGAAAAATCTATGAACGCCATATAGAGAGGAATCTGGTATTAATTTGCTCGTTCTATAAGTATTTTCATACTTAGTAAATGGTTACTTGTGCTGAATCCCTTTCTAAAACCAGCTTGTTCTTTCGACTGGTATCCATCGAATTTTGTCGTCAATCTATTGGTTAAAATTTTTGTTAGGAGTTTATACATTTCATTGAGGAGTGTTATAGGACGGTAGTTTTTTACATTTGCTTTATCCCCTTTCTTGTGTAAGATAATGGTTACTAATTTCTTCCAGTTGTTTGGTATTCTTTTTCTTTTAATATCTTATTAAAAAGGGGATGTAGAGTATGAATTACCACTTTTCCACCATATTTTAGCATCTCTGCAGTTATTCCTTTTGGTGGTTCCTTTTTTGTTTTATATAATTCTGAGTAGAAATTGTGGATTATATTTATGATGTCATCTTTAACGTTTGTTTCTACCCCATTTACTTTTATTTTGTTTATTTCAAACTTTCCTAATTTGGGCCTTAAGCATTTCATATTTTTGTTGTTCTATATTACTTCTTCTATTTTTATTTCTTGTTCTTTTCTCTTATTTTATTTTATCATTCTGCTTATTGTTTTATTGATTTCTACATATTCTATAGATTTCCTATTGCCTTCTTCGTCCAGCTTCCTTCTTTTATCCATAAGCTTCTTTGTTTCTGTTGATATATAGTTGTTCTTTTTTAGATCCTTTTTTGCTATTTTTTTTCCTGATGTAATCATTGTTGCTGTAAGTATGATGTCTATTTCGTCTATATCTTTATCATCACTGTCTAATTTTTGGGTAAGTTGTTCTTTTAATAGGTCTTTGTATATCTCTATATTGCCCTAGTTTGTTTCTACCTACTAGATCGCAGTTTCTACTTATTTGTCTTTTCATCTCATAGTTACCGTCAGTACTAATTTTTGCTCTGACCATCCTGTGATCGCTACCTGTTGTGAATCTATTAAGAACTGTTACATCTTTAATGATATATCGTTTCGTGGACAGTATGAAGTCGATCTCATTTTTTGTGGATTCATTAGGGCTGATCCATGTCCACTTTCGTTGGGGCATCTTTTTGGGTTCTTTTATCAATAATGTTGTCAAACAACTACAAAAGCCGACTTAAGTTCTTCATTCAACAATACATAATAGTTTCAACCATGTTCTACCATCCATCAATTAATAGAGTACTGGCATGTAACTGATGTTTTATTTATTTGCTCATTTATTAATTTATTACAATTTAATAGACTATTTTATAACAATTTATGGATCTTACCTTGTCTGTTAAAACTTTTTTATACTTTTTTTATTCCTTTTTATTCATTTTGAAAAACCACAGACATGTAATATTGGCATAATTACTGTAATTTATATCATCTACTTTGTTTATCTTTATTAGACAACACCCTAATATGGTTTATTATTATTTCAGCATTTATTTAACTTTGTATCGAGACCTGAAGATGCTTTGCATATTGTAGAAAGCGAAACCGGTCGTCTGATAGTTAAATTAAATTGATTGTGAGTAAGTCTTATTTATTATTTCTTTACCTATTTGAAATGGACTCACACAAGCAACACATTCATGATTTAAATATTATAATGTTTTATGTCTCCCCTAAAAAATTTATTTAAATAGAGTTCGCCGGTTTGCGAATTAAGATATCGCATGCTATTTTATTTTCACGTTCAATATCATAATAACCATACCGTATTTCGTTAATAGAAACAAAACAACACGAAAAATAGCCACACAATAAAGAAACGTAACAAAATTATTTCTGTATATGTCTTATTAGAGTCCCAGTCTTATTCAATATTGTTTCCTGATATACGATACTACACCATGTCAGAAGCGAATGACGCCTTCGTGCCATATATCGGTGATATTATTTACGGTTTTCAAAATTTACTAAATTTGGTTGGGAAAGAAATTCTCCGATAACAAAAAAGACAAAAGATTAATGAAAAGTAACGTGATCCCCTTGTGGCACATAAACTGCTTCTTTTATGTGGGAGACTTGGCGTGACTTTTCTTTATATCGGGCTTCTTAAGAAAATGGAATTTGGCGACATCCGAAAAATGTAGGAAAAATCATTAGGAACTTTGCCAAGAGGATGTATAAATTTTAGTAAGTACTACGGTAATGACTTTGATTGGCGTAATAAAATGTACATTTTTACATTAGTACGTTAATAGGTCAAATAGGTTGACAAGGACAAACAGTTGTTCTAGTGTAGTGTTTGTACAATTTTATGTTAACGTTCATGTGTATCACATTCTACGCTTGCTGTTTTGCATATTTGACGAAGTAAGTCTAAAACGTTAATCACAAAAAACTTTTATCATCCATTAACTTCGAGTTTTTATTAAGTTTATTAATTTCCTCGGATAGTCGGTCGGATAGCTCAGCGGGCTGTGCAGCTGCCTCTCATTCGCTTTACTGTCGAATGGTTCAGTGGATGTGGGTCGAGCCCCAGCTCGGTGTACAGAAAACAAATAGTCTAACGCAGCAGTTTAAAATTCTAGATGAATCTGCGGCTTAGACTAAGATATGCTGGGATCTGATCGGCCTATGGTGGAGCAGTACGGCAAGAGATAAGGGCTTGCGGCTTGGTTATACTCCTCCATAGATCCCTACCGGACGGGCGTAACGCCTAAAAAAACCGGATATATATATATATATATATATATATATATATATATATATATATATATATATATATATATATATATAAGTACAGGGATACGCTGTTACCAACTTCACATCGATATATCTGGCAAACCGATAATGACAGCTACGTCAAAGTTGGCCTGATAACACTTGATTATATTGTTTATAAGCCGTCAAAACCATTTGCATTTAAGTTTTATGCATACAACAAAAGTTATTCGCAATGGAATGTAAACGTAATAGAGTGATTGCGTTATATTTAGCTGGAAAATCACAACCAGCTATTGTTCGTTAGCTCAAACACCTCAAAGTGATTAAAATGTTTGTGTTATGCTCCATAACTCGTTACAATAATACTGGCACAGTATAAAGAGGTTCCACCGGTATAAGGTGGAACCTCTTTATACTGTGATACTGGTAGCATTGTCAAACTCTATAGTGGTGGACGAAAAAAACAGTAACCTCACCTGAAACGGTTCGGAAAGTGAAGGCTCGACATGAGCGAAATCTACGTTGTAGTGGTAATCAAAGGGCCAAAGAACTGAAAATATCCCAGAGAGCAACAGTGCAACAGAACCAGACAACATTCAAAAAATATTGAAAAAGAAGATCAAGGTTACTAAAATGTGTCAAATATTTTAATGTTAAAAAATTTCTATATTTGGTTGATTAAAACATTTTCAATACATATAGATTCAAATAGGTAAAGAAATAATAAATAAGACTTACTCATAATCAATTTAATTTAACTATCAGACGACCGGTTTCGCTTTCTACAATATGCAAAGCATCCTCAGGTCTCGATAAAAAGTTAAACAAATGCTGAAATAATAAAAACCCATATTAGGGTGTTGTCTAATAACGATAAACAAAGTAGGTGTTGTAAATTACAATAATTATGCCAATATTACATGTCTGTGGTTTTATTTAAATGAGTAAATTGAATAAAAGGTATAAAAATTTTAAAAGTTTAAACAGACAAGGTAAGGCCCACAAATTGTTATAAAATAGTCTCTTCGATTGTAATAAATTAATAAATGAGCAAATAAATAATAAAATAAACATTACTTACATGCCGGTACTCTATTAATTGATGGATGGTAGAACATGGTTGAAACTACTATGTATTGTTGAATGGAGAACTCAATTCTACTATTGCAGTTGTTTGACAGTAAACGGGAAGTTCTTGAGGAGATAGATTTGATCCAATGAAGAAGAGATATGTGTGTGATTGTTTGTTAAATGAAAGTGATGTAATATACCATTGTGTTATTAAAAGCTATTTATACTTATTCGAGAGATATATTTTTGAAATGTGTGTTATTTATTGAGTAATTGTTTTATGAAGGTGACATGAAGGTGACATCACTTTCATTTAACAAACAATCACACACATATCTCTTCTTCATTGGATCAAATCTATCTCCTCAAGAACTTCCCTTTTACTGTCAAACAACTGCAATAATTGAATTGAGTTCTCCATTCAACAATACATAGTAGTTTCAATCATGTTCTACCATCCATCAATTAATAGAGTACTGGCATGTAAGTAATGTTTATTTTATTTATTTGCTCATTTATTAATTTATTACAATCGAAGAGACTATTTTATAACAATTTGTGGGCCTTAACTTGTCTGTTTAAACTTTAAAACTTTTATACCTTTTATTCAACTTACTCATTTAAATAAAACCACAGACATGTAATATTGGCATAATTATTGTAATTTACAACATCTGCTTTGTTTATCGTTATTAGACAACACCCTAATATGGGTTTTTACTATTTCAGCATTTGTTTAACTTTGTATCGAGACCTGAGGATGCTTTGCATATTGTAGAAAGCGAAACTGGTCGTCTGATAGTTAAATTAAAATGATTGTGAGTAAGTCTTATTTATTATTTCTTTACCTATTTTAAATGGACTTACACAAGCAACACATTCATGACATATAGATTCCTTTTTATTTAAAGAATTTAATATTTTAATTTAGAAATATTTTAATTTAGAGTCATAGAATGTTGTTTTATTATAAACTACCACAGACACATCACCAGACAAATTCCCTATACTTTTATTACGTGGCAAATAAATTGCAGTGCACAATTGCACATACCGCAATTTAATTACATAATGTACCCAGTTCAATAACGCATTTTGTGTTGCAGTTATGGCGACATGCGGACAAACGATAAGAGAGAACGGCACTTACTTCGTGAATAATGAATATCCCAATCAGTACGATGGCACTGGATTCTGTCAACTTACTTTGATTAAATCCAGTCCGGATGTCTGTCAATTCAGGTTAGTAATTGTGAATTCTGCTTTGCGGTAATATCTTGCAATGAATTGCATATTGGAAGTGGGTGATTGGATGCGTAGAATGGATTTAAAGCTGGTATGAATTTCTAATTCACATGTATTATATCTGAAATTCGTATATACTTTTTTTACTTAGATAATCGCATCGCCCAAATGGTCATTAGCGACAAATTAATAGAGTACATACCTTTATTAAATTTTATGATACTTATTAATGTCTTTTAAGAAATCTAGAATGTTGTTGAAATTACAGTCTGTACATAGGGCTTCTAGAAGTGTTGCTGGTATATTATTGTTACTTCATTGGTTATTAAACAAGAGACATTTACATAGTATGTTTTGTTGTTAGTGTGTTATTACAAGTTTTACACTGCGAGAGTCGCGCTTTTTAATTAAGTAATCATGTCTGAGACGCAATTTTATTATTACCTTTTACATAAACTCTAATAGGGAAATCTTTCAAGAAGCAGTAGATCATGTTAAAGCCACAATTTGAATTAACGGAAAATGTATCAATAAAATCAGATATGCGGATGGCACGGTGGTATTCGCTGACAGCTATGAAGCTATTAAGCTGCTGTTGAATCAAAGCGAATGCTAAATTGTGCAAAAACTGTCTTTGCGATAAATGAATCTCGTTATTACTATAAAAGAAAAGGACCATGTAGTTTATACCAGCTACATTTAGCATGGAATAAAAAATTACCATTGGTCATCCTCGAGTAATCCTAGCGCTGTCATAGGCAGTACATAACTTGTCTACTGTGTCAACTCCTCCCTTTGTAGAATTGTAGTCAAGAAACTTGAATACTTAGGCCACCTGATGAGAGGACAAAAGTACACATTCCTACAAAATATAATGTAAGAAAAAATCCAAGGAAGCTGAAATCCAGGCCATAGAGGAATGTCCTGGGTGAGAAATCTAAGAGAGTGGTTTGGCTGTACTTCTTTTTCTTCTTCTTCGTCTAGCTATTCACGTCCCCATCTAAACATAAGCCTCTTCAAGTCTTCCTTTCCATTGTTTTTTATTGTACGCTACTTGTAGCCAATTTTTCCCGGCAGTCCTTTTCAGATCACCTGTCTTTTCAGATCTCATAGGAGGTCTGCCTCTGGGTCTTTTGTGTTGGTATGGTAACGAATTATTTAAAACAGCAGTAAATAAAATTTAAATCCCTCTAATGATATAAAATATCCAATAGGAGAGGTACTCAAAGAAGAACAAGTCAAAAATCATTTCGGGTTTCATGGAATCCTCATCAATTGTATCGTCATGATGTATACTAGACAGGAGAAGTACGTTTTTTTTTTAATTTTTGGTATATAGGACTCCAAAGTGATATCATCATAAAAAGCAAACATGCTGGATCGAATAGGTCTGCTTATAGGTTTAGAAAATTCATGGGGTAGTTCCTTCTTATTTTTGAGACACCTTCCTAGAGTTGTTGCCCCAAATATGACTCCAAATTGCAGGTATAAAAATCTGCTAGCGCAAAAAACTTTAATCGAGATCTAAATGCCTCCAATTCTTCATCTATTGTGACATATTTAAAAGGCGTATAACCGTTTTTGCAATTAAAAGTAACCATTTTAAAAATCTCTCGCCTGGGAAAAAATTTATCTAATATTTTTTTTCTCACGTGAATCATGTCATCAAACATAAGGTGCTGTAGTAAAAATTTAAATCGGTATCTGAACATTGTTGGACGAAACATCTCAATTCTTGTACCGTCTTTATTCTAAAGTTTGTCTGTGCATATTTTTTTCGCAATTCTTTCCTTATAAAAACTTTCATTAAATATTGTTAAAAAAAAATTCTTTAAAATAAACTACTTGATTAACCAGAATTTATTTTCAAAAAAATTACATAATATTCAAAATTTTTGTTGATAAATGTAATGTTTTTATAATTATTTTTTAGTATTCATTTTGATTTCGTATATTGAACAACTTGCAGGCTTAACTTCGAAGAACTAAACCTAATGCAACCTGAATCTGTCAATCATATATGTGATAACGACCAGTTCCTGGTTTCCGGTGGAAATCCTGTCCCTGTGATTTGTGGCAATAGTATGGGTAACCATAGTAAGTAGAATACAGTCACATTTCATTGTAGTTAAAAATATTTTTTTTAAATGTTAAAAAACAAAAATAAAAATCGAACTGTCTGAGCTTTAACTCTAGAAATAATTAAGTCATCAGCTAATACACCATTTTCACAATTTATGAACACACTGTATAAATGATTGTGGCAGTAAGATGACCATGCTATTGGGATATACGAAAATATTTTATAAAATCTATTTTTTTTTATGATATTTTACAATCTTTCATATATGTAACCTAATTTTGTTCTAATTTGCGTTTCAGTGTACGTAAGTACCCCTCCTGGAATAATCTCACCTCTAACCCTTTCTGTAGTTACAAGCGGACCATCTTATCAAAGGAATTGGAAAATTAGGGTTCTACAAATTCCGTGCAGCGCACCTTACAAAGGTAGATTATTTTCAATATTCCATAATTGCCTTTAGTAACCTTTAGGATTATTGGCAATATTATTATTTATGTAGATAATGCTTTAAATATGAACAATAAATATTATTTATTATATTAATATCATTGAGGTATGATAAATTCTTGGGTCTGCGGAAAATGTAGATTTTAAAGTGGCAACCTTTAATTGTGGCTGATTCCCATTTAAATAGTAATTACTTAAAAATGCCACAAGAAAATAGCTTCAGAACAATATTAATATTAATTATTAGAAAAAATTGGTTTTAAGTTAACAGAACTTTGTTTAGTGGAAAAATAATTCTAAAGTTTTGCAACTATTATTATAACAATAACTTTACAACTCCAGTAAGCGTCAGGTGTACCTGAAAAATTAGCTTACCCTATAAAATCGAGTAGGACAAAGTGTTTATTATATTACAAAGTTTTTCCTCGGGTGACAGCACACCGAGAAGTTTGTGAGAATGTATTAGTGTACTTTATATCCGACAAGAATACAACAGTTAAATAACGAAGTAGTTTACTGTTTAACAATTTTGCTTATATTGTAAGCTGACTTTCATCCCTATAAGAAAGTATACCGGATGTGCCAAAAGAAGCAAGGCGGTCGAAAAATTCGCGAGATTTACATCGGATAAAAAAGATTTAAAAACACGTGTTCAATATTTTTCAAAAATCTATCGAGTAACACTCAGTAACACTGAAAACGATCCACACTTCTGGAATAGTAGTGGGGAATAATTTTGAAATTTTAAACCCTCATTTTTTATTGCCGATTTGGATTCTACCAAAAATTCGTAGCAAATTGAATCTTTACTTCTTCTTCTTTAAGTGCCCTGTCCTTACGTAGGATACTGGATCCAATAAGTGAACACAACAACTGGCGAATAAGGTGTAATAGAGAAATATATGAGCAATATAGCAAACCAACTCTAGCACAATACACTAAACTGCAGACATTATGGTGGACAGGGCACGTGGTCCGCATGTATGAGAATAGAATCCCCATAAAATTAATAAATGCAATAATACAGGGAACCTGTTGGAAGGCCAAAAAAGAGATGGGAAGACGAAGTCGATGAGGATGCCAGGAACTGCCTGGAAACGCGTTCATGGAGAAAAAAACAGCGGTAAATAGAAATAATTGGAGAAGCTTGTTGAAGGAGGCCAAGGCCCGATTTGGGCTGTAGTGCCATTGAATGGATGGATGGATGGATGGAAGTGAAAATAGCAGCGTCACGAAGTAAACAATTTTAGTTAAAGGAATTTTAAAACACTGGACGATTATTACGGCACATGTTGGTAATAATCTAGTTTTGAGTATGGCTACTCTACTAAACATTTATGTGTTTGAAATTAAAATTGAGATTATATTGATCCTCCTCAGTCCTAATCCCTTTTGGGATGTGGTGACACTATCAGGCTTTCACAGTTTTTTTTACGATTTCCCTCCATCCTTCTCTGTTCTGGGCTAGTTGTTCGGCTTCATGTAACCCTTGGTTAATCAATATTTTTGTTTGATCTATCCAATGGCTTGGATATCTGCCCCTAGGTCTTTTTCCTTTAACTCTACCCTCGACTATCAGTTTTCCATCGTGCCTGTTCTTCTAGTAACGTGTCCAAAATACTGCAAATATCTCTGTTGTATTTGTTTAAGCAATATATCCTTTACTTTAAGTTGTTCTAATATCGAGCCTTTAATTCTAAAAGGCCCCCAGTGCCCAGCACTTCCCAGAGTCTTGATCACGGCAGCGATCAAACAACTAAGAAAAGGGGGGGTACTAAGAATCCCTGGGTAAGACCCGGCTGCCACAAGATGACAATTTGGCTATGCTTCTACAATATTCGAACACTTACGGACAATATATTCCCAGAAAAAGAAAGTGAACTAAAGGATTTAAAATGGGATATCATTGGTATATGCCAGACCAGAAGAAAAAGTGATGAGTATATAATACTAAAAAATGGCACACATTTTATGCATAAAGGTGGCGAATACACGGGAGTGGGATTCTTGGTAAAACAAAGCCTTACACAGTGTATCGAAGAATTCAAGCCAATATCAGACAGAGTAGCATATCTCATCATCAGGATTAATAAAAGAACCACTCTAAAAGTGATCCAAGTGTACGCTCCGACCAAAAGCCACGACGATGAGAAAGTAGAAATATTTTATGATGAAATAAGAACAGCTATAGAAACAAATAAAGTAAATTACGAAATACTATTAGGAGATTTTAATGCTAAATTGAACAAAAAGAGGAAGATTATGAACATTTAATTGGTAACTATGGCTACGGGAAAAGAAAGGATAGAGGAGAAATGCTTCTCAATTTAATTAATGAACATAACATGTACTCAATGAACTCCTTTTTCAATAATAAACCAAGCAGAAAATGGACATGGATGAGCCCCGATAAAAAGACAAAGAATGAAATAGATTAAATATCTTAACGAAGAATGAAAACCTAGTAGAAGACGTATCAGTATTAAATAAGTTTGACCTAGAAAGCGATCATAGACTAATAAGAACAAAACTAATAATTAACAAAAAAACTAGAAAGAAAAAGAATACATGAAAAAAGATACAAATGGACATCTGAAGAAATCAAAAATAGTGAATTTAATAGATAGCGCATGCATTAAATCAAGTTAGCATGCAGCAGATAAACTCCAATGATATTGATGATTTGAATAACCATATTACCGAAACATTGAATAAAAGCCTTCTGCAACTTAAAAAACCAAAAAAAAAAACATACAATGAATTAGACAAATAAATAATAGAACAAATAAAAAGAAGGAAGATCTTAAATAAATCTAACAAAAGGGGAACCGACGAATATAGAGAACTTAATAGGCAGATTAGAAAAGGAATCAGACAACAAAAAAGAAAAGAAAACGAAAAATTAATAACAACAACTATTAAAAAAAAGATAAGAGTATGATATTATTTAGACCGACACTAGGACGACGTCAGATGATATCATTAATGGAAAAGACGAAAATGAAATCACAACTAGAAACAAACATACTGACACGAATAGAAGAATTTTACACAGAACTTTACAGAACACATCAACAAGATAATGAGATGAGACCAGCACGGATATTAATAAAAAATGTTGGATCAAAAATAATGCCAAACGTAACAATTTCAGAGATAACCACAGCATTGGAAAACATGACGAGAAATAAAGCTGCAGAAGAAGATAGTATTACACAGATATGATATTAGAAGGAGGTAAGGAACTAATTGCAATTGTAACCAAGCTTGTGGATAATTGTTTACATCAGGGCAAAGGCCCTAAGAGCTGGAACAACTCTAAAGTAATCTTATTACACAAGAAAGGTGATAGTCGAAAATTGGAAAACTACAGACCCATCAGCCCACTGTCACGCCTGTTTAAAATACTCACCAAAGTCATAACTACTCGACTAACAAGGAAATTAGACGAATACCAACCATACGAACAGGCAGGTTTTAGAAAAGGCTATTCAACTTCCGATCACCTGTTAACCACAAAAATATTAATAGAAAAATGAATAGACAGCAGATATATTAACTTAATAAAATAAACTATGAACCAAGCTACAGCTACATATTACCTTATTGAAAATGAACACACAAACCCTGTACCATTAGACAGGGAAGTCAAACAAAGAGATACTTTATCAACCAAACTGTTCACTTTAGTTTTAGAGGACGTTTTTAAAAACCTAAATTGGAAATATAAGGGAATGAACATCAATGGCCACTACCTTAGTAATCTAAGATTTACAGATGACATAATCCTGATAGCTACTGACCTACAAGAAATGCAAACCATGCTGAAAACCAAAGTCACAGATGTGGTGCAAACATCATTAAAGTTGAAATGGGAATACGCTGGACATGTAGCTAGAAGCGATCTAAATAAATGGCACAGATCAATTTTAACCTGGAGACCATACCAACACAAATGACCCAGAGGCAGACCTCCTATGAGATGGACAGATGATCTGAAAAGGACTGCCGGAAAAAATTGGCTACAAGTAGCGTAGAATAAAAAACAATGGAAAGGAAGACTTGAAGAGGCTTATGTTCAGATGTGGACGTGAATGGCTAGACGAAGAAAAAGAAGAAGATTAAAGTGTTATCATCATATATCAAGTTATTGATTTTTTAACCTTCGACTGATATTCCGCCTTTCCTATTATGTTTATAAATGAAATCAATTATTTATGGTAATTTTGTAATTTAGATAACAAAAAATATATACAGATACATTATATTTTTACAGATTTTTTGATTTCCTTTATTTAATTACTAAATGAATTTTAGTATTAATTAGTAGTTTAACATTGTTTATTTATCTCATGTGCTATAAAAACAAAGTTTTAATAAAAACTGAATGCTATTTTATCAGTAAAACAAAAAAATGAACCTCCTATTACAACTTCTTAAGTAAATATTGATCCAATTCGGTTTCTTTTCGTTTTCTATTTACCCATCGATCTTTATTTCCTTTTAACAATTCGAAACGTGCATTTTAAAGTGATCGCCAAATATTTTTTCAGCTGGAGAGGGATGTTTACAGTACTTCACAGGAGTCGCAGGTCAAATTCTGTCCTACAACTATGATCCGGAAACTGGAGCGCAACTCTCGAATCAGGACTACAGCATTTGCATTAGACCCGAGTGGAATTTTTGTGGGATTCAGTATACGCAGTGTCCTAATGCCGATCCAGGTAAATTTTTAATATTTAACTAAAGTTATGTTAGGGATTAAAGTTAGTTTAAGTCAATGATGGGGTAAACTTTTGTACGCCGTACATATTTTAGGGTAAACGGCACAGATACACAGATTTTAAAGATGTAGGCGGCCAAAATTATATTTAGTGTAATTTTGGTTCAACTAAATTAAAGGAAAAGTATATCTATACCTTGGAAGTAAACAGTCGTATATCCATAACGTATACATTTGCAGGAAAGCGCAAAACATAGAGACTAGCAAATAAATTAAAAAAAAAAATTTGAATTCTTCTAAACTTCCATTTTATTGAATTCAACATTATTGGTAAATTACACTATGTAAATGAAAATCTATTACTAGTAAGTAGTATTGTTGAGAAATGATTTACCTGGTGTACGATATTGGGAGTTACGACTTTTTATCGCTATGTCTTTAAACAGGTAATATGCAAAATAAAAATCGTAAGTGATCTGACAGAAATATTATATTCTGTGTTTAAAAATGCAAAAACCAAGTCACAATGTCTGGTCACACTGGCAAAGCTTTAATAAATGTTCGTATTTTTTTGTGATACCTTAACAATTCGTACGCATAGCAGACAATTGATCAGGGATTGGTATTTAAGTTCTCGGTGATCTTGATACATTCAAACTAATAAAATATTGATTTGTAAAGTTTGTTTTATAAAAAATAGTTAACGGTGACGCAGCACGAATTTTAAAGTGCACCAGAGTTGAAATAAGGAACTGTTATTTTTCATTATTCCGTTTTTTATCAATACATGGTGATTGTTTGAGGTTTGGCAGACAATATTTCGAAATTTTTGAAATTCGATACCTCCATTTCAATCACAATTGCACCTGTAGAGCGGATTAACTGCTGCCAGTCTCAAGGCGTAACGATTTCCATAGTTGCTTGTTTTTAACGTCCTTTCAATTAAACCATGAACATGGTCTGATTCCATGTGGGTATGCCCTCTCAACAAAAACTTGTGGATATTATTTTCAAATTTGGACATATTTTTAGTTGCCATAGTTAACTGAACATCATCATTATATTACGATTTTGACTGGAACGATTGTCCGACCAAATGATTAAATGTTCTACCGTAGAATTGACAAGAACAATTTCACTCCACTTCAATAATGCTGAAGCAATTTCATGTCCACCCCTTCCAGCTTTCGATTCGTTCCACACCATGCAGTAATCCTTGTTTGTGGTAGAATCATAAATTGTTAGGTTGAGTATCCATAGCTTTAACGAGTAAAAGCTTTGATTATTTGTCAGGTAACGAGTTGAAAGACATTTTTTTAGGTCGATTATAATCACTTTGGTTTTATCAACTGATAACTTTATAATTTATTCGTCTTCCGGGTTTGGACCGTGTCATTTGTGAGTGACCCAAAAGTGGGTTCATCTCGACGTTTCGCTACAATTGTATGTAGCTTCTTCAGGAGAACAAAGAAAAAGAAAACAAAAGACAGAAAGATGGGTAGTTAGCAACGGTAACTCAGTTACTCAACGCAACCAGAGGCGAATACTAACTACCAAGATGGGCATTTGGTCACAGTAACTCAACTACTCAACGCAGCCAGAGATGAAAACCAAATGCCAGGACAGGGATTCACGTCCAACAGCTCAGAACACTAACGCGTCGAGAGGCGGGGAGTGAATCCGACGATTACTTCGCTACCGCTCTATTTATAGTCGCTGTGACCTGTCGTGTCGGGACGTATCGGCACACTCCGTGGCGCTCACGTCAAGAAGCGCGCGCTGGCCAATCATGTGGCTGCATCGTGGTAGCGGGACCGGACGGAGGCTCTAGACTGAGATTCCATGGAATGCCCATCTTGGTAGTTAGTATTCGCCTCTGGTTGCGTTGAGTAAGTGAGTTACCGTTGCTAACTACCCATCTTCCTGTCTTTTGTTTTCTTTTTCTTTGTTCTCCTGAAGAAGCTACATACAATTGTAGCGAAACGTCGAGATAAACCCACTTTTGGGTCACTCACAAATGACACGGTCCAAACCCGGAAGACGAATAAATTATAATTCTGACTCTGGCCGTGGAAGCCTACGATCTCAACTGATAACTTACTTGTTAATTTGTCGTTCTTCTTTTCAGTATGCCTCATATCAGCGTCGTGAAGATAATCTTCATATTTCTCACGAAAGGCAGCTGTTGCCTCATCTTGATCATCTTGTTTGAGCTGTTGACTACATTTATCGCATCCATCGCATGTATCAACTGAGGGAGTTTTGAATCTCAGGTTCAATTCAGAATTGAAAATTTTTTTATAAAGCTACAACTTGGCAGTTTCTTCAAGTAATTTTGCTAGTTTTGTTCTATGTATAGTGGCTTTCATAACAAGGAAATGAATCTATGTGTGAGCTCACCCTGTTGAGCGTCGCATTGCTCAATTTGTTAGGCGAAACATGTCTACCTCGCATATCCAGCGAGACCAATCCCCCAGCATCTTACTTTTTCTTTCAGGTATGTCTAGTGTATTGAGAAAAATATTTTGCAAACATCAACTTTTTATATTAGCTGATTTTATATCAAAGTTATAACTTATGGTTTTATCAAAGTTTTCTTTGATCATGTCTGCTTCCGTCTATAGGTCTATGACGATCTGTAGATTTGGAAGTAATGTGTGATGCCACAACTTCTAAAGAACTTTTAATTCCCAACTTTTCTGTTTCGTCCAATAATATTAAAAAATCTGCCTTCTTACTGCGTCGGTGAATTTGTTCACGCAATCTTTTCTACATGGTGCACAATCTGGTTTTATCGATTTTGCTTTTATTTTTTTACCAGACTTAGCAATATGTTCTCTTCCTTATTGAGTGGCTGCAACTCGTTGAGTTACTTTTGAGGTTTTTATTTGTTTGATATCTCTGACAAAAGTTGAAGTGGTGGTGGTTTAGAACTCGGGCCAGCAGTTTCGTAATTATCTACCTTCTGTAAAGCTTTACCTCTCTGCACAATTCTTTCTGCAATTTCCATGTCGTACGTATTAATGTCGTCACCAACATAAACTACTTGGCGTATAATCGGGATCGTCAACGCTGTCATCGTCATCCTCTCAATAGACTACAACAATTTTACTCTGACAACTGCTGTTAGCAATTAGCAGCTGAGATTCAGATATCAGTGATGCAGACGCACTGGTCTCCCCTACTAGCATATCTTTACTACTTACTATTTTTAATAGTTGTCGGAAGACAACGTCTGATCATTTTTACCTGACGCAATAAGCAACATTTTATTACAGTAAAAAGTCGTATTTCCACTAGAACGGATTACTACTTCATAAATATAGGTTAAAATTGACTCACATTAATTAAAAAATCAGTAACAGCATACAAAACTAGCATTGCAGTATCAGTAAAACCAAGTTTAACAAAGATTGAATAGTTAAATACTAAAAGTAGGTACCTAGCTTTACTTTTTCTTACCTTGCAATAAATTATCTAGCGTTTCTATGAGGTTAATAATTTTAGACATTCTTGCACTAATTAATTGACGTAAATATTTGTTTTTATTAAGTTATGTTAATTTTAACGTCAGTAGAAGCAATAAAGTGAAATAATAACAAGAGTAACACGTGGTAACACCCTCAACTAAATATCATTTAATGTCGAACTGGAGCTACGGCTGTTTACCACTACCGCATTCCAAAGCATACTTAGATACGCACATAGATACGCACGTATCTATGGATATACTACTGTTTACCTCAACTGACTAATGCAGTTGCGGTTGTTTCTAAACGCCGTATCTAGGAAACTAATCATGCTGGATGTACGATTATTTTCCACCAGATGCTATAAAAACCTGTCAACAAAAGTGTAGTCGTAACTCCATTTCAGCAAAAATTGGAGTTACGACTGTTCACCTCCACGGTATAGATATATTTTTTACAACAGACATGTATTGCCCATGTAATAAAAAAACAGTAATAGTTACAACACACAAATTAATGAAAACTCAAAATTAACAATAAAAGAATATATTAACAATCATTATCCTCCAGTTCAGACGTCTCCATTGACTCTGTGTTTGGGTCAGCAGGTACTAAAGGTTCAATCGTTTTAGGTAGAAATGCTTTGCATAAAGGTTTTTTTATTTGTCTCAAACAACTAATGAAGGGATCTAAACTTAACAAAAGCCTATAATATACATCTAAGTTACACTCATTCCTAGAAAACTTTTTAGCAAAATTTAACCGGTATGACCGGAAATGCCTGTTTCAGGTTTCTGCAGCTTCTTCTGATAGCTGTCCTATTGGAAGTAGCGAACTTTTTATGATTTGGCTTCCATGTATCAATAGCTTGTGCAAGGTTGGCTGGCAATCATACAATTACACGTACAATTTTGCTGTGTTACGCATACGTATCATATTTTTCAGCATCTATTTTGTGGTCACTTGAAATAGTTTTTAAAATTACCTTGAAACTGTTAATCATATTAAAGTTAATACCTGCAATGTATGAAGCCAGATCATAGCAAGGGATATGTTTTGGATTTGTTGCTGTTATTATCTCATACTGTCGTCTCGATATATCAGCTTCAACTAACATTTACATCTTAAGTGCTTGCAGATACGTCAATGGAGGTAGCTCATCCTTGTCGCAAACTTTACTGTAGGCTTTTCTATATTTACTGGCCCATGTTGCTAAATTCGTAATATCGTCGTAAAAGCAATTTTGAGTCGGCCCTATGTCCTATTGTGTGCAACACAGATTTAGCAGCGTGGACAATTATTTCATTACCTACGGAGGCCCTTATTTCTTCTGTTTTCCTTCATTTACTACGCTCACTTAATTCTGCAAGACATGGGTGGTCGACCTTGAGGTAACGCTGTTTCAATGGGAATCTCGAATGTTCCCTCTATCCACGATTGTTTTTTTTTTCAGGAAAACATCTAGGTGTTTAATTGCTTTTGCCCATCGTTGCTTAATTTGTGATTTTATATTTCAAATATCTTTGAAGAC